AATACATTAAAAACTAATATTTTAATTTGACCCTTGTTTTAAAAGTGATCAAAACGCGTTAAGAATTTTGCTTTTTTTTTTTTTAATTGTCAGTAAGGTTGTTGGATTTTCCACCAAGTGGCTTCCAACCAATCCTTACAGGGGATCAGCTGGGGACTTCTTTCCTCCGTTTCTAGTTTTTGTTGTTTTAATTTCATTTCATTTTCTCTTATGTAAAAAAAAAAAAATGTTAAATTTGTGAATCAAAACTACTTTAAATATTAAATTTGTGAAGAAAAAACTGACCGTATTAAAGAATAGAGTCTGACTACGTATATCAAGTTCTTTCTTTCCAAGATGTCTGTTAGTTCCTCGATAAGCTGTCTCTTTCTCTTGCTCTGTTGAAAATGTACAAGCAAATGTAATCATGGTTGGGCAATCATCTATGGTAATTTTTATGGCCGATTGGAACTTGAGTGCAGAACTTCCAGCATAGAAACTTGACAACTTGTCACAATTCTCTAGCGAAATGAAGTTTAGCCGTGGGAATATCAACTCTGTGTTCACTACCTCCTCAACTCCTTTTACCATAATCACTTGTTTCAAATCTTGACAGGATGATACATCCAAGTTCTCGAGGTGCCCAAGACCTAATACCATAGAAGGGGTAAAAAGGTATTCTAAGCTGCTACAAGCATAAATTTGTAGTCTTTTAAACTTTCTGAAATTCAAGATTTCTTGAGGAGTCACAGTGTAGGAAGATGTTATCCACAACTGATTTATTTTAATCCCAGACAACTTCAATTCCACCAAATTTGAAAACACAACCTGCAAAACATGCAATTCTTTTACTAAGAAAAGCTTATCATTCAATTTTTTGATATATAAGACAACAAAAAGGAGAAAATGATGAAGTTGATAGTATTGAGGATATGCAGTTAAGGAAGGACGGCTTTTTGAATTTAAATGAAACGGCCGAAAATGATGGTAACAATGGTTTCAATTTGGAGTGCAGGGCAATTTCTCGGGTTAATGACGAACATGGATTATTTATGGATTGTGGGCCGGTAGTGGATAAGTGTGATGGGCTGAAGGAGTGTGATGGGCTGGTAGCCAACCCAAGTGGGATGGTTGGGAGCAATAAAGAAAATAGGCCTGATGATGATAATGTGGGACAGCTAGCATCTGTCCGGGAGATTGATAGAGGGGATTTGATGGGTAAAAGGCACAGGAAAATAGAAGAGTGTTACCCGAAGGAGCTAGCAGAAATCTGGGCGAAGCGGGGGCAGTTGGTGACAGCCAGAACAAAGCTACGGCAAGGGAGAAGAGAGATGGCTCGAATGGCTACAACGGAAACAGTGGAGCGGGTTGGCAGCATATCTTGAGATGGTTTGAACTGATGTCTCCACTGAAGATTAATTTTAGTAAAAGTAGTGTTTGTGGATTTAATGTGTCGAAAAGGTGGTTAAAAGGGACAACGAGTGTTCTGCGATGTGGTGTTGGGGAAATACCTTTCATATACTTGGGAATGCCTGTAGGGGGAAAACCGAGTAACAGGTTCTAGGATCCAGTTGTAAACAAGTTTCATGTCAAGCTTGTCATCTAGAAGTCTGCCATGTTGTCTATTGGAGGCCACCTGATTCTGCTCAATTCGGTACTTTCTTCTTTACCTATTTTTTATATGTCTCTTTTTTTTATGCTGAGTTGTGTGGTTTCTGAGTTGGTTAGTATTCAAAAGGATTTTTTGTGGGGTGAGATTGAGTTAAAGAAGAAGATATCATGGGTTAACTGGGATTCAGTTTGTTGTAGTAGGGGGAAGGGGGGTTTAAGGGTGCTAGATTTGCGTATGAGGAGTTGGGCATTGCTCGGGAAGTGGTGGGCTAGATTCGGTGATGGAGTGGAAAGTTTATGGAAACAGGTGGTATGGGAAAAATATTTTGGAGGTAAGAGGGAAGCGGACATTATTGCAGTAGAAACTGTAAAAGTGTTTAAGATTTGGAGTGATGTTATTAAAATAGGAGGGATGTCAGCAGGCTTAAGGAATATGGTGGTGAAGGGTTTTAGATGGGAGCTAGGGGATGGTAGTCGGGTGGGTTTTTGGAGAGAGATTTGGGTTGGGGATAAGTTGTTAAGGGATTTATGTCCTCGATTATACGAGTTAGCTATTCATAAGGAAGGTATGGTTAGTGAGATGGGCGAATGGGAGGGGGATAGGTGGCGATGGAATATGGAGTGGAAGAGAGAGAGGTCGGGAAGAGTAAGGGATGAAGAAGAGGTCTTCTGGGAGATGCTTGGTCCAGTACAATTAAAGAAAGGAAGGGAGGATAGTTGGCGGTGGGTACATGGCTTGGAAGGTCGATATGTGGTGAAGAAAGCCTATGAGGTTTTAGCTCCCATGTAGTGCCTTCTTACTGACCAGTTTTGTAAAATGATTTGGTGTAGGTTAGTCCCTTCCAAAGTGAGTTTTTTTGGGTGGAGGTTGTGTCTTGATAGACTCCCAACAAAGGTGAATTTACGAAAAAGAGGTGTGGGGTTGCAAAGGGAGGATTTAATGTTTGGGCTGTGTAATGGGGTGCTGGAGGAGGCTAATCATGTGTTTTGTACATACAAGGTAGCTTGGTCAGTTTGGGTACAAGTGTTGCACTGGTGGGGTATTGAGGCTGTGTTATCAAATACAATAGAAGGAGTTGCAAAGTTCTTTCCACATGGTTTGGGTAAGATTATAGAGAAGGAAATGGGAGCAAGTATTTTCCTTGCTGTTTCTTGGTATCTCTGGTACTGTAGGAATATGGGAGTTTTTAAGTATCTTGTGAGTTTTACGGAAAGGGTGGTGGATATGGTGCAAGCCAATACCTTTTTCTAGATTAAAACTAAGATGCAAAGGTGTGTTTTTTCCTTTCTAAGTGGTAGAATAATCCAATATAGGTTGCTATAGAAGTAAGAAGGCATAAAAGGCTATTGAAGACATTCTATAAGCATAAATTGTGGGTGGCATGAATTGGATTCTTGGTAGAAAGTTTTTGTTTGTTAGTTTTGCAATTTCTTTATAATGGTATTGACTGTTGGGCATGTGGTCTGATCATGCCTTCTTCCTTTGTATATGGGTTGGAGTACCCTTTGTACTCTTTAAAATAATAAAAAAAAAAGAGTATAATAATCTCTTTTCAATAAAAATAAAAGAAGTAGAATCGATAACAAGTT